GGACTGCAAACCCTCCCCCCCGCACTCACACCAGGACTGCAAACCCTCCTCCATGCACTCACACCAGGACTGCAAACCCTCCTCCCTGCCCCGCATGTACACCAGGACTGCAAACCCTCCTCCCCCCCACACTCACACCAGGACTGCAAACCCTCCCCCCCTGTACTCACACCAAGTGTAGGTGTCTGGTGTGTGTGTGTGTGTGTGTGTGTGTGTGTGTGTATGGTGTGGGTGTCTGTCTGGGGTGTGTGCATAGGGTGGATGGTTTGGTTGGGATGATCTGCTCAGAACACCCACTCCACACACACCAACCAGACACCTACACCACACACACTAACCAGACACCTACACCACACACACAACCACACACAACCCAGACACCTACACCACACACACATACCAACCACATGCCACACACCAAACAGACACCTACACCACACAAATACCACAGCCAGATCAGGGAGAAGGAGATTCTGATAGGAGCCAAGGAAGAGGGGACTCAGGGAGGATCCAGGGAGGAGGAGGACTCAGGGAGGATCCAGGCAGGAGGAGGACTCAGGGAGGAGCCAGGGAGGAGGAGGACTCAGGGAGGAGCCAGGGAGGAGGAGGACTCAGGGAGGAGCCAGGGAGGAGGAGGACTCAGGGAGGATCCAGGCAGGAGGAGGACTCAGGGAAGATCCAGGGAGGAGGAGGACTCGGGGAGGAGCCAGGGAGGAGGACTCAGGGAGGAGCCAGGGAGGAGGAGGACTCAGGGAGGAGCCAGGCAGGAGGAGGATTCAGGGAGGATCCAGGCAGGAGGAGGACTCAGGGAGGATCCAGGGAGGAGGAGGACTCGGGGAGGAGCCAGGGAGGAGGACTCAGGGAGGAGCCAGGGAGGAGGAGGACTCGGGGAGGAGCCAGGCAGGAGGAGGACTCAGGGAGGAGCCAGGCTTTCCCTTCTGTCCTGTGAATCTCCCTGTTGAGCATGTGGCAGGCTCAGGGTGTGGAGATCAGAATAGGGGCAAAGGCCAGGAGGGCACCCGTGACCATGTGTGCGTGCGCCTGTCTTATTACCTGTGTGCAAAGGGAGTTCCCGGCAACCTGGGCGCAGGTCGGGAGAGTGCATCACCCTGGGCTGGCGCAACTGCACAGGGCCCTGCAGTGGCCGGAGCCCGAGGAGGGAGACAGGAGAGCCCAGAGCGGCCTCCTGCCTGAGGCGCTAGGACAGATGCAGGGGCTGCCCTCCCCAGCCAGGACCCTGTGTGCGGCCACTGCCTCAGCCCTGGATGGAGCGCCCTCCCCGTGCTCCCCAACCGCTGTGCTCCCCACAGCCCTGGACAGAGCGCCCTCCCCATGCTCCCCAACCTGTGCTCCCCACAGCCCTGGACAGAGCGCCCTCCCCGTGCTCCCCAACCGCTGTGCTCCCGACAGCCCTGTGCTCCACGCTGCCCTGGACAGAG